TTTAATTTTGTATAATATTAGAAACATACTGAGTTATTATGAGCTATAAAATAGAGTATTTGTAAAACTGCACCTGTACAGCACTGTAACACTTAACTTCCCCTATTTTGCCTTTATATGCTGCTTTATAAGCTGACGTCGGGAGTTATAGTTATAGATATATACTATAAACACTCATGTCTGCTTTGAACTACATTGTAGTTTGACAGAAACCAGTTATTCCATGTTTACAAACTGTTAATAAATGCTAAATGGCTCATTTTGAAATAAAGTGTTGGCTCATTCAGTTTATAAGGTGTACAGATAGTATACCTTAATTAATTAAATGTTCCAGTCACTCTCACTGTGTCTATAACTCAATTATAATGGATTCACGCATTATGAAACACTTATATCCTTACAACTAAATTAAAATCTTTTAAAGGGATTATATACTGAAAATGTTTATATGTACTATACAAATAGTAAAGTTTTGTCAATAACATCTACTAAACCTTTTTACTAAACCTTTTTAAACCAGTTTCTGTATTTACTGAACAATGATCAATTTGAAACAAGAAATAAAAGACATTTTGAAATAAATAGCAACAATTAGCTGATTTAAGTCGCAGGACACTTAAACACTGAGCAGAGGAAGTATAGTCTTACCATAAGTAATGCAGTCCATCCCAGTGTGTGAGGAATTGGGGAATCAGGTGGAGGAAACAGAGACTGGGGACCGAGGGGGAACCGGGACTTTAATACAAAGGATAGGAGGGGACAGGTTGTGACAGACAGCTGTCAATCATGAGTATGTGGGCGGTGCAAGACGACCATGTTTGAGGTTAAATAATAGGGTATTGATTTTAATATTTCAGCGTTTAATACTACAGTATATTTTAGTTTGTTTAGAGACAATGAGTGTAGATCTAACATGTTAACAACTGACTGTATGACATAGAACTTGAATCAGGCCTTTAAAATACAGATACAGATGCAGATACAGATGATACAGACACACTCAGTAAATATCTTATTCAGGAGTTCATATCTGATTTGTTTAGAAACTGCAGCCATGCTTTTTTAACTACACATTTATCTATATATACACTACATCAAACAAAGTCTGTACTTTGGAAGAGCTGAGAAATTTCCATTAGTGCATTTGTCTCTTCTTCATGAAGGCTACATTTCTGACGTGAATGATACAGGCTTCCACACACTGCATTAGGTGACTCATCTGGATGGAGTCTTAAAGTTTGAAATCATGTCAATATAAGTTTACTGTTTGGTTTCTGGGTCTGTGCGCAGACTTAAATGAAACCGTCAGTGTAATCTGCTGTGTGCGCTGCGTGGGAGATGTTCCAAGCCTTTTAGATTCCCATTCATAGTTTTCCAAAATTCCAGGCCATAGATTGTACCGTTCTTTTAATAAACATGTTTTTTCTGTCTGTCTGTATGTATGCTGTTGATAGTCAGTGTTGCCCTTAAATTCGCTTTTGATGAGTTAAACAACGCCATCTGCTGGTGTGTTGTGTGTCCGTGCCCTCTCTGGCCCACATCAAGAAACTTCTTCACCGAGATTCAGACTCTGAGTATTGAACTGTGACATCTTCTCTGTCAGAACCTGCAGAAAACCTCTCAAAAAATTGCTGTCGATTCATTTTAATCTGAGAATTTCGCATTAAACCTTTAAAAACCAATACCAAATAAATCTTTAGTCGGACAGTCATTGGATGTTTGTTCTTTTTCGGAGTACGACTGAGATTTTGAAATAAATCCAGATTTCTCTGATTAGATTCACTTTACAAAAACAGGTGGTGCCCTGCAGCTGTTTATCTGAATAAATTCTGACATAACAGCATACAGATCAATTTGTCCAAGTCTTCTCTGATCTTGTTCTTTTCTGGGCCAGAGATGTTCCAGAAAAACCTGCTCTCATCATCTGTGTGCAATGCTACAGAGGTGTTAAAGTGAAGTGACACGTATGAGCTGTTGATGTAATCTTGTCAATTTATTGACTAAAAAAAGAAAAGCACTGGCTGACAGCGAAAACGTTGGGTTCAATGTTGAGGACAGTTTTCTGCAGCACCACAGTCGTCAATCATACAGAGCAGCTAAAGCAGGACAGGATGCTGTTACAGTACATCAATAAGGCTGATATCCACAGTGTCATAGACTCATCAAATGGTACACACACAGAAACACGACAGAATACTCTTTCAAATTCCATCATGTAGACTTTAGGCCGAGAAGGCTTTATCGTTCTAACACAGGGCACTTTTAGGAAAAGAGTACAGCAGAAGGAGACACAAACATGCTGAGGAGATCACAGGTAAACATGGCTCCCCTGACCATTACTAATTATACACACACACACACACACAAATGGTTACATTCAGCAAACACCAAAACACACTAACAGAGCAGTTGGAGTCTTTTAATATTAACGTGAACATTAATTTGCTGGCAATATGGAGAAGTGGCTTTCTTCCAACACCATCC